AGATGGCAAAGTTTAATCCATGGAACTTGAAGCACGCCAACCCTGCCAGATCAGATTGGCTGGGCAGATACTATGGGAGAAAATGAGTAAGAATGAGAAAAACTCATACTTGACTGGGCTGCGAATGTGTATGGAGCATAATCACCACATAGTAAATTGTAATCATATGTTCCGTACCTCTTCCCAGAGTTGAAGAGAAGTGAATTCAATATTTTACTCCTCTGCCTGTTATAATGGTGACAGTCTTTGAATAGGCACCTAATTTTTCTGGAATATGTGACATTTATTTAATGGACTAGTACAGAAATAAGAAATATAAGAAAAGCAGATGAATTTTAGAATTCATCTGAAGTGATCTGAGGCGGGAGATAGCTTTGTCCCCTCTGTTGTGGTCAGATCACACTCTGGTGACCTGAGATTCTCTTATGCTGCCCCCCTCTGCAGAGAGGTAGGACCTATTTGATTGGTCTGCCTCTGGCGACTGATGGATCTGGTGGGGTTTCAACGGGAACTGAGGGTTATTCCTGAGGTTCTTACTGTTTTTATGGCTTTTATTTGTAAGTTGCCTAGAGTAACTTATACTGTGAGATGGGGGGGTGTATAAATTTGATTTATAAATACTGTACATAAATGTGAGAAATGGCTTCAAATCTTTAATTGTGCATTCAATTATTTTTCTTTTTAGTGGCTATGATATTCCTCTGAATCCTTTACATTTGTTGCCTTTTTACGCTGGGGCTTGCTTTCATGACTTCCATCATATGAACTTCATTGGCAATTACTCCTCAACGTTCACATGGTGGGATAAACTCTTTGGTACCGATTCGCAATATAGGACTCACACAGAGAAAGGGAAGAAACAAGAACACACAGAGAAAAGAAGATGGAATAAATCTCCCATTTGCAACAGTATTTGGAGCATCCAAGAGGCAAATGGCTCCCATCTTACTTTTGATTAAAACTGGAAAACATAACACATGTTGCAGATCAAAGCAAAATACAGC